CTTTTAGCAGACCTAGAAGTTTCAACCGGTAATACCGGTTTTCCCCTGGTGCGCATGTTCAATCGTGAGAACCGCTGACTTTTTCCGTGCCCACGGCATAACATAACATTTTATTAGCATTCCCATATACAGAAATGGTATTGCTTTTAAACTATTACAATTATAGTTTTAATAATATTTAATATAATCAATGAACAGATAGAATTAATTAAAAGATATAATTAGAAATCTCCATTTCCCATGCTTTTGTTTTATGGAATAATATTCTCTAAGTTGAAATTCTTCATAGACATACTGGCCAAGACTTTTTTACAAACATGTGGATCAATGTTGTTAAAACGAAATATAACTTTTTCCGATTTTTTCAAGTCTACGAATTTGTCAATCGATCGACAAAACATGGCAGCTCTTCGCCTTCGTACAAAGCCTTTGAAAAAGTCGTCAAATGTGCTATTACAAAGTTAAAATCCGACGAATTTCAAGGTCTCTGTATAATTTTTCTGTGTGGCAACGATACGTTTGTCTCGCCTCCTACTCATTAAAAAATCACTCGATTTGAAAGCGAGGCTCGCGGAGGCTCGGTTACTTTTGAATTTGGAGCATGCTAAAAAGGAATTGTGCATGCCGCGAGTAGAGTCTCCTTTCTCTTCCCAATTTTTCTAGGAAGATCGAAGGAGACTCTGCTCGCAGGGTACGCGTTCACTAAAACTTGATCACTTTAAAATTGAACAGGGGCTCTCGCTTTTTCCCTCTCTCCAGTCTCCTCAACCTTTTTGTTGTTGTCATCAATTGTTCTATCCTTACTAGCACATTTCCTGACAACTGGAAAGAGGCTGAGGTGATTTCGATTCTAAAAGACGGTGACCATGAAAAAGCTGCCAACAACAGACCGTTATCTCTGCTAGCCGTAGCTTCAAAGGTCCTCCAAAGGATTGTTTTGAATCAGTTCAGCGCCTATCTCACAAAAAACAACCGCCTTACCTTACACCAAAGCGGCAATAAAAAAGCTCATTCTACAGAGACCTTAAACATCCTGCTCACGGATAAGATACTCGAAGCAATGGATAAAAAGCAGATAACAGCACTAGTACTATTAGATCTATCCAAAGCCTTCCACAGTATAGACCATGCAAGGTTGCTCCACAAACTCTCCATCTTAGGAGCCTCACCCTCTACTGTCAAATGGTTCAAGAGCTATTTAACTGGTCGCGGGCAATACGTGAGAATTGGCTCCGCCTACTCTGACACCCTACCTATCACTCACGGAGTTCCTCAAGGCGCAATCCTCTCACCATTGTTGTTCTGCATTTATCTCAACGATTTACCCACGGCACCGACGTTTTGCAACCTAGAATCGTATGTGGATGACTCAAAGCTATTCATGTCATGTCATTTCCTCTCGTTGAGCTTGATGCTGCCATTGAAAAGCTCGAACAAGACCTTCACAGTGTAGCTCAATGGTGCTGTGAGAACCATCTACTTATCAATCCCGATAAAACTAAACTCCTTTTCCTCGGTACCAGACAGATGTTAAGCAGGTTACCAGAAGACCCTAGAGTGGTATTCTTAGGTAAAACACTGAAGCCAACAGACTCTGCCAAGGACTTGGGAGTCTTTCTTGACCCCCATCTGACCTACGATCACCATATTTCATGTGTAGTGTCATCTTGTTTCGCAAAGCTTTGCCAAATAAATAGAGTCAAAAGGAGCTTCGACAAGGAAACACTAGAGTTGTTAATAACATCATTAGTCTTTAGCAAGATGCTTTACTGCTCATCTGTATGGTCTAATACTACACTCCAGAATATAAACAGATTACAATCTATTCAGAATTTTGCCAGCAAGATCGTAACAAACTCTAGGAAGTTTGACCACGTAACACCTTTGCTTCGAGAGCTAAACTGGCTTCCTGTTAAAGAACAATTATTCTATAGAGACTCCGTTTTGACCTTTAAATGTCAGAACGATCTTGCGCCTCAATACTTAACGAGCAAGTTTACCAAGCGCTCAAATATACATACTCGTAACACTCGTACACGGAACTCTTTGCAGATTCCGCTATACAGAACGGCTATAGGCCAGCGCACATTTTCCTACAGAGGGGCCTACACATGGAATAACTTGCATAATGAACTTAGGCAAAGTGCCTCATTGGCATCTTTCAAGCGCGCCCTGAAAGACACACTATTGAGGCAGACATTTCCTTCATAAGCTCTAGGATTTAGTAGAATACCATCATAAATTGTGATTTCGAGTTTTTATTGTCATTTTTGCTTTTATAAATTGTAAATAGTTTGTAAATAGTTCCTGAAAAACCTCACGAGGATGTTACTATTAAAGTTATTATTATTATTATTATTATTATTGTTGTTTCTTTTTTTCCCTTCGTACAACCTTCAAGAGGTGCGTGTTTGGGGGAGAATTCAAAAACGGATTTGTGATCTCAGATCATATGGATTTTTCAACACCAAAACTGAAACCGAAGATCAAAAAAAGGATCATTTACCTTGGACAACGGCATGTCCTCGTGCTTTTCGTGATGAGAAAAATAGAGGAAAAAAAAAACAACAAAGTGCATTGATCCTAACTAGCGTACGTATACGAATTGTATTGTTTCTATTTGAAAGACAATCGTCTGTCGAATAGAATACACCTTAGGATAGTAAAATTATAAGCCAGAATTTAAAACCGAAGCTTATGAATCGTTTATTTTTGAAATTACTTGGAAAATAAACCGGCTTAAGCAGACACTACATACGTACAAAAAACAAGAAAAGTAAGGGTTTAAAAACAGTCTGCGAATGTAAATAGATGACATACATGGAATCAGAGTCCCTTCATTTTTCTAAAGAAAAGAAATTTTAAAAGTGGAATCAGCAACCCGAATTCGACCTAAAGCCGATAACACTGAAATCCATCGTCAAAACTACTACATTATTTCGGATTCGATACGCACAGAAAATCCCTTTTATTCACAGATATTGTTATTAATAGCGACAATTAACCCTAACAGTAAAATGAAAGTTAACTATTTCCAGTCAGTGCATAACCCTTGGACGAAATTCTTTTCTATTATCACCAATGGTGTGGCTTCTTCTAGTTTCCTATAAAGAGGTTTGAGGACAATTAAATAAGTATTTATTTATTGATTGATTTATTTATTCGGTTTTATTTGTTTATTTTAATAAACCTACAAGAAGGGCCTGACACAGTAGCCTGCGAACTCCTCGCTCTTCGCCGCTTGGGACGTTTCGAGAGCAAAACGTCGTTTCTCCTCGTGAAACGTCCCCCCAGCGGCGATGAGCGAGGAGAAACGGCTGTTTTCGCAGGGTACTAACACAGAAGTATTATTATGAAATCACCTGGTTGTTTTTCCGTATAATTATTTCATTTTTTTATTAACTTACATTCTCTTACTCACTCTCTCAGAACACATTCATTGGGACAACCCAGATGCACCCATTTGCCCAGAGTTTATTCTTGGCAAATGTGAGAATGGTTCCCAGTGTACCGGCCATCACTGCATTTTGCCTTACCAGTGGCAATATATCGATAGCAATGACCATGAATGGAAGAATTTGAATAAGGAAGACAACGAGAGGCTTGAAAAAATGTATTGTGACGTGACTCTTGAGAAAAGTTTAAATAATCATTTGAAAGGCATGTTACAATACTCTGCTCTAGTATTTAATACACTAATATTTAACTCATTATCACTAATATAACTATATTGGGAAGTTTATGAACATATTTCACTCTTAATCAATTATCCATGAGAAAGGGCGCATAACTTAAAGTATGCCCGTTGGCCAGAGAAGGTAAAAACGTTAGCGTGTAAGAATTACTGCAGAGTTAATCAGTATCATATATAGTTCCAGGCAGGTACTTGCCACTCGAGTACACTAGCCAGGCATATAGCATTGTTTAATTTAAGTCAGTTTTAGCGCGTAAAACTATGCTACATTAGTGATTGTCATCTGAACAAAAATATTAATAACATTTTTAAGTTCTCAATGCATTTTTCACCATGCCGTATGTCTGTCGTTAAAATTTGAATTTCTTATATGAGGGAAGGTTATTGAAAGCTTCAAATTACAACGAAAATATTAGGATACCAAAGGAGGACGGTAAACATAAGGCACATGATGACAAAGATGGCTGATATAAAGGGTTAAAAACGCACATGCTTTAAGGCTAGTTTACTGAACCTAAGTTTTGGTTACCTATGAAGAAATTAATCCAAGCATAAGTACAAGGGGGGAGAAGCCTAGAGGATAAAACATCAGCACCTGACGTGTTCGTTTATCCCTTGCGCGCATTTTGAGACAAGTTCAGTGATGGTCAGTTTCTATGGTTACGAGATATGACGTCATAAGTAGCAGGCGGTCAAGCCATTTTTTGAGTGAAAAAGCATGTTTTTCAAGTTCTTTCAACAATAAAAGTAAACCTTAGGGCTTAAATCATGCAAAGTGCTTATTTAAGTGTTATTTTTCATTTCAAGCACAAAAGATTACCATTTCTCGCGGTTTTAGCCTGATTTCTATTCTTGGTAAAATCGAAAATGACAGCCAAGATGGCGACCATTCTTGGTGACGTCACAGGCCTCCAGCAGTGCCACCGCCCATTAAATATACCTTATCTTGTTAAGAAGATCAAAGGCTTTTCACTGAAGGCAAAATCGTTTTGAAATACTGCAACATATCAGGGGTTCCATCCAGCTCCCTCCCTCCCACCCCTTGTACCACGGTAGGGGTATGAACTTGTGTGTACGTCCGAGGGTTAGCTCATGCGTCGGGAATCGTGTTAGGTTAATTGTCCAAATAATGCCATGGAAACTAGTGTAGAATTTGACTCGCCTATTCCTATCGAAATTAAAAAGTTGACAAAATTGTCATTTTTGTTTATATTTTAGCGATGAACTTTTGCATGCCCAAGAGACGTATGATGTCGATATTTGGCTCGATGATAAGACACTGATTATACAGAATTCGGAATTGGCAATGGTCAAGTCGAGAAAGAACCTACGACGCCTATCGACAGAGTCTTACGTCAACTCAAGCAACCCACTGGCTACCAAGTGGATATGGTACTGGCAACACCAAAGTGGATTCTGGAGGATGTACGATAAAGACGACACGGTGATTAAAAGGGGGGGATATATTTTCTTTGGGGTTTGGATAATAACACCTCTTGTAACGGTAAGAAATAGGTAACGCACAATCAAATCCATACCCGTACCCACACTATGGTAGAAGGGAGGCAATGGGAGTGGTGGCCTGGGATACCCATTTGGCGGTTTTTAGCTCTTTGCTGTGTTATAATATAATAAATAATTATATTCTGCAAATGTCAAACATTTAATAGATAGCCTGCAGAGTTTAATGCTGACGGTCCTGTTAAATATCCATTCACAGGGAAAAGATCTCCAAGAATCTCTGGAGAAAGCCTTCTGGAACAAGCAAAAAGACTTCAGGTTTCGGATTAGAAACCATGATTACATTCTAACCTTTGACTCATCAAGTAGCATGAGCCAGACAAACATAAATTACGGCGCGAGAAAAACAGTAAGAAGAAGGCCTGGAAAATTTTTTTCTAAGGATGACATTTCTCAGCTCAAAAGGTACTTTGTGTTCTAAAATTTACCCGGAAGAGGTACTCGGGGTAAATAAGGGGAGGCTCCGTCCAGAGGTCCAACCCCCTACCATTTTGAATACAATTTTTGACAGAAGATTAACCCGTTTCGTGTACCTTGCTTTGACAAACGGTACTCCTTTTACATAACCTAGTGTAGAAAGCGGCATCCCCTTTTAACCGCTGTGAATGCACCGTCCTTTTAACATGACCAGGAAGGTTTCTTGTCTCTTTCGCATCCGTTTGTTAGCCCTTTTTGACCTTTTTACAGACCGAAATGACAGATTCCCTACTCTTTCATGTACTTCAGTTAGTTAAATCCCTAACCTTTCAAATACCTCATGCCTAAAATAGGTACCCCTTTCGCGTGGACTCTCCCCGAATAAGGCACACTTTTAGTAAAATCCAACTAGTGTTCTATTATCAAAGCTGCGATCTGATTGGTTGAGCTACTACTAGGCTATACGTTACAGCCCACTAGTAGCGAAAAGCGCCGGCTTTGAAAACCAAAACAATAACCGTTGAATCGTGTTTTGCTAGCTAAGGTTGTTTGTCGTGATATTTTTGACCAACTAGTTGATTTTACTAAAACAATTATTCCTATTTTTTTACTAAAACAATTGTTCGAGTCAATAGCCCATTCGACCTTCGGCCTCATGGGCTATTGGCTCGGAGCCCATTCGGGCTCGAAGAATAATTGTTAAATAGAGAGCACTGCCTCTGAGGAAGTAATTTTTTAAAATTTACAAGTGCTAGCCCTGGACTCCGTTATTATATAAAGTTATAATCTGGTCATGGACCATAGGGACTGAGATAAATGTAATGGTGCACCTTGATGTACCTTTTTTCACTAGGTCTCAGAAAGCATTCTCAGCTCACAATCAGCAAGAGGGAAACACAAAAGGCACTGATAAGCCAAGCAATTGGTCTCAAATGCCATCCACGACGCCATATCAGCGTGTTCGGTTATCACCGATTACTGACGAATTTAAAGATTATCTTTTTGAAAAGTTTTTGAGCAAATACACCTCGCACCTTTAGGAACGGTAGCTTGCCCACGTTTTGGGAATACTCACCCTTTTCATGGTTTCCATCAGTTTATGAAAATATCAGTAAGGTGTCCTATCACGGTATTTTAAAAAAGCTTAAGGTGTTTATTTCCAACCCTTTTTCGCCCTGTTTACTTGAGTTGCTTGTGGCGACTCACACTCCTCGCTCTTGCTCATTGCAGCCAATAAGGTAGCCTCGTCTCCAGATCTAGATCTCTCATCCCGTTCTCTAGGACGATTGACAAGTACCCTGAGTACCAGGTGATTTTTCCTCACGTGTGGCAGGATCTTTCGGTGTCGGCCGCAGGCCGAACCCATCCCGCGAAGCTGCAGCCTGTAGGACACGGATGTGTGATCTTCTTTAGCTCAGTGTCGTAGATTTACAACCGTAGAGGTTTCCGACTTTCTAACACAGTTTTTATCAGCAAACTGACCGTCTTCAAAGTTGTCACGTGATTAAGGTGTCGATAGTGACGTGACAAGTGATTAGAAAAGCGCGGGTAGTTTACACCCTTCATCTATTATGTTTATAGCTTTTTTTAGTTGTTTTTAACGTAGCGTTAACTAAAAATTAAATCTTGTAGTAGTATCTGCATGGAGTGGAAATAAAAATTGATTTTACTTTTTGAATTTACTCAGAAAAAAGGAAAACATGGCATTCGTAAACGAAATGCGGTTGTTTCATGGGACCAACCCTGAAGTAGTGGAAGCTATTTGCAAACAGAACTTTGACTGGCGTGTTAATGGGAAGAACGGGACTGCTTACGGACAAGGAAGCTATTTTGCTGTAAACTCCTCCAAGAGCGACTCGTACGCCAAAGAAGACAACAAAAGGTCTAAGTTCATGTTCGTCGCCAAGGTCCTCGCTGGCTCGTATACTGAAGGTAAGTTCAGTTATCAAAGACCACCTTCAAAGAATCCCGGGAATCACGCAAGTGATCTGTACGATTCATGTGTGGATGAAATGTCCTCTCCATCCATTTTCGTCATTTTTCAAAATGACCAGTTGTACCCTGAGTACATCGTCGAGTACTCCACAGCTCGAGGCGCCTCACTAGCAGATATGGTAGTGGCAACGAAAGCTTTGGTAGATTTTGCCAGCCTAGTTTTTGGAAAACGTAATAGTTCAGTTTCGAATTAAAAATTACCGCTAAATACAAACATTTAGGACACATTCATACAGGCTTAACCTCAAATAAAGTAAAATATTCAGAAATTCCGGCAAGTAAGTGTTTCAATTTGAATATAAACAATAGACAGGGTAATAAACAGGTCTTTTTCTCGTTGGAATTTGTGAATTTATTACTTTAGATGGAGGCGGCTAAGCCTGTAAAAAATGCGTCTTCATTTCTTTAATTCAGCGGTCATAGCGAATTCAAAACTGGACTATTAGTCATAACGAGCATGATTTTCATCTATTTTCCGAAAATAACACTGCTAGCATTATTTGCCTTTTTCTCTAGTTTTGCAGCACAAACTGTCATTTCTTAGACATGCAACCATATCTTTTTTTGGCCTAAAGATAAGCGTTGCAGACAAATTTTATTCATAAGCAACAAAGTAAATTCTTTGTCTACTTATTGTCACAAGGACCTGAGACCCAATCTCGACCCCAGAGCTTTTCTCGGCGCATGATGGCCAGGGAGGAAGAGCTCTGGGGAACCCTGGAGCAAGATTGTCTCTGATTGGTTTCAGAAAAAAACAATAAAAGAATTTCTGATTGGTCCATTCAAGTTCGCACGAAAGAGGCTGAACGTGTGGCGTGTCTGGCATGTGACCGGAGTAAGTATTAATGCTTACGCTGACGGTGAGCAGATTTATGATTCGGATAATGATCCAGCGAGATTAGAAGCGAGACTTAAATGTCATTTTAGTCTTCTCAAAGCTGACCATTGGTTTGGTGTGAATGGTATGATACCAAACCCAGACAAATATCAAGCAATGGTGTTGGGAAATACTAATCACGCTTTTAGTTTTCATGTCAACAGCATTAAAATGCCTGTAACAGACAGCATTAATCTCCTAGGAGTGACAACCTTGATAAGAATCTGCGGTTTAACGGCCGTGTGAAGACTATTTGTAGTAAGGTCAATAACCAGGTAGCAATAGCACCACTGGTAGCAAAATGTAAAATCTACAAAGCTTTTATAGTACCATACCAGGAGCCTATATGAGTAGTAGGCTCCTGACCATACTTTAGACTTCGGCTGTTTGGCACTTTTGTGGGGCTCGAAACAGAGACAAACTAGAGACACTTAACAAAAGGGCGCTCAAGATAGTCCTTAACGAGAAATCTCTGGACTAGTAGAGCCTCCTCCTAAAGGAAATTAATTGTAGCAATTTATATAGTTCAAGGTGCCAAGATATGTTAGTCATATAGTGCAACAAATTTCGTTTAAACAAATATAATGATACAAGCAATAGGTAGTTTAATTCTTTTCGTATAGTACTATTAATATTTCCTTCGTTTCATTTATTTCATTTTATTACTTTTTTATAGTTACACTGTAAATCTGAGGATAAATAAAGGTGATGTATTCATAGGTATGTATGTGACTAAAAGCAGGTTTTTCCCTAGAAATGTTGAAATAAACACGCCCGGCCGATGGCTACTCCGGCCGATTCCTGTTTACAGTGATTCCAAAACAACATTTGCACGACTAATTAGGCAGAATAACTAGATTCTCTGATTTTCAAATGAAGTATACTAGCTACATATTGGAAATTGACCAAGAAAAACATCTGAATGTGAAAAATAAGATATAAATATATACACCGACATCTCTGCCAGATATAATTTAAGAAGCATGACAAATGCGTGTATGTTAGGGTCATTAGTTGAAAAATAAGAATCTGTGTTAAGTTTTCTTTTCTTTTTTTTTCAATTTAATAAATGGAAAACAAAAATTGACAATTGGCTTCAACTTTTATATTCTTTCTAAACATACGAAAATGAAAAATGAAAATATATGTTCAGTTTTTTTTTTTCAGAAATGTGAAAACCTATGTTCGATTTTCATTTTTTTTCTGGACATAGAAAAATGCAAAAAACAAAACAAAACAAAGAAAAGAAAATGTGTATCTACTTTTAATTTTTTCAGAAAAATGAAGAATAATAAATCTGTGGTCAATTTTCAATTATCAATGAAAAACGAACTCCACGCACAATGTTTTTTGTTTTTGTTCGGTGCCCAGATCCTCTCTTGCTGGAACTAAACAAGATGGCGACAATAGAGAGTCTCCTTGACAGAGGGGGTGAAAGGGTTATTGCGTGATAGGGGATTAATTAAGTCCTTTTAATTTTCGTGAAAGGTGAAAATACGAAATTAAAATCCGTGAACTGTGAATGGTTTGCTTGTCGTGATACGTGAACCTTAAAATCTTTTATCCGATATTCGTGATTTTCAGCTAATTGTTTTCGTGAAAAAAGAGTTTCAACAGGAGACAAATTTTACAGTAAAGCCAGTGGACCTTCAAATGAACATTTTAAAATGTCTTAAAACGCTTAAAGGCCGGTTATTTGAACGGAGTTTGGCCGGTGTTTAACAAAAACAGACTTTCAATCAGTTTCACCGATCAACGCTTTTATCTAAACACCGGTTATCGTGAACGTTTCATGGCAGCAACAGGGTAGACTGGTGAAACATTTGTTTTCTTAAAATAACCCACTTAGAAAGAGATCTGGAGGCCCAATGATTTCTTAAACCGCGGTCCAAGTTGGGCTCTGTTTTAAAAACCGCTCTTACAGTCGTTCCCATATATGTCGTCCTAAACGTCCTAAACTATGACCAGACAACTTTTTCGGCTCTTGCTTCACCCGCCGAGAAAAGAGCGTCTGCACCCGAGCTGGGAAACGGTTTCCTTGAGCTGGTGAGTCAGCATTTTTCAACCAATCATAATTCAACTCTTATTTTCGTGGAGCTAACACATGGGGGGTTTGCGTGGGGATGTTAGTTGCAATGACCGAAAGTTTTTACTGTGAAACTCACAAAACCGTGAACACCAGAAATATTTATGGTATGTTATTGTGTTGCGAGAAATAAACCAATGAGGCGCGAGATAACGAAACCGCAAACAGCAACCGTAATTAGTTTGTGGTTTTGAGGTTTGCTCGCGTGTCCTGAACTTTATTGTGATTGGCCAGTACACAATCAACATTCCTGAAATTTTTCAGGTGTTCACGGTTTTCCCCTGAGTTTGACAGTAAATTAGAGGGACAAGTTTTTTTATTGGAAGGAGTAATATAGTTTGAAAGCTGAGTCCGAAAAACGTGGTCTAGGATCCTTGATTGAAATTTAAAAACCTCTGTCGGTTAGAAAAGTCTGTAGAAGGGAGCAAAGCTTATGCGATAAACAACGGCGACAACGAGGATGAAATGTTTTCTACGAGAAGTTACTATTCGTAGCGGAAAAACGGTTAAAGTCAACTATGAGACAAGGGAAAGTCGAAAGACGTTCCTTTGGAGCACCATATAACATGCATGTATGCGTCAGCATTAGTCATTATCAGTTTACCTTCACCTACATTTCACTGTATGTTTACCTGACTTCCGTTACTTCTCTGCTCTAGTTGTGTGGGAAGGACAAAAAGCAAAACATCGACTCTACTTTTATAGCGAAATTCGTTGTATCGCGCTGTGAGTTTTGTATATTTTGGGTTTTTCTGTTCCGTCAATCATCTTAGCGGACCTCTTAGGAAATTGTTTACTTGCACGAGTTCAAAAGGTCATGGTTTGTGATTCGTGATTGGTGGATCTCGATCCGTTTTGTTGGTTTCGTGTTTCAAGGTTCGTTGCTTTGTGATCGTCCTGCTTCGGGCAATAATCGACGATTTAAGTTTGCTTCGCAGATTTTTATGATCTTTCTCATTCTTGTCACTTGTAAGAATAAAGCAACGTCTACCTACTTCCTTCGACAAAAAATCCACTCACCATAGCGATTTCCTTCGCTATTCTTGAGCAGTCTACAGTCATTCTCAGCTAAGCTGGGCAAGCACGTTACATTGTGATTTGCATTAACCCCGCCTTCACTAAAATGATTGACGGAACAGAAAAACCCAAAATCCCTTCAAAGTTTTCAAAACGCGCAGCGCGATACAATGAATTTCGCTATAAACGTCAAGCCATGCACTGTTCTTTTACTTCCAAGCTCCATCATTGCAGTCAACATCTTCGATGAAGCTTTTACAGATATGCCAGTTTTTGCACTTGTTCTGATTCCGTCTACATGAGCCTTTCACAGCATACTGCTGGCAGATTTTCTTTCTCAAATTGATTCGCACACGTTTCTCTTCACCATTGTGATCATTCACAAAGACGAATTCAGTCCGACTCTTCAGCCACTTCAGCCTCGATTCCGACGCAGATTTTCTGCTCCCCAGCGGGGCAGGACACCTGAAAAGAACCTGATAATTCAACAAAACCGCCGCTACCGCGAATAAAATTGTGGACTTTCTGAAACAAAACATCATCCTCATCATCCGCCATCTTCTCGTCACGAGATGTCTTCATGGAAATAACTTCCGAGCTCGAATTCTAAAGGCTAATTTTTACTAGCGACGGAGTCGGAGTCGTAATCAGAAGCGTAGAGCTTATGATCTAGTGAAAACAGCGTTGACCGATTCCGCTTACGACTCCGTCGCTTACGTCCCGCTTATGACCTGAAGCAGAAGAACTAAACTAATCACAAAGCGTACGCATGGAAACGTGCATTGTGATTGGTTTATCTTTCCGCTTCTGCTTCCGACTCAGGCAATCTGGTTTTCACAAGATCATAAGCGGAACGTAAGCGACAGAGTCGTAAGCGGAGTCGGAAGAAATGGAAACGTTCTGCTTCTTCTGACTCCGATTCCGTCGCGCTGAAGACTCCACTTACGACTCCGATTTTTGATTTTCACTATATCATAAGCGCTCTTACGACTTCGCTTACGACTCCGACTCCGACCCTGTGGCTAGTGAAAACCAGCCTTAAGAAAAGAGGCGTTGCAGGGAAATCTGCCTCAAGAAATGAATGCGGGCGGAAGGCCACAATTAGTCACCCTTATTGCTACACACTTCCCCTCTGCTAGGCAGTCTTCTCCTTCGCTGAAACCGACTTTCCAACCTAAGACCAGGGAAAACAGTGCAAGTGGAAGTGGAAAGATGGAAGCCTGGAACCATTTGCGTTTTTGAAACGTAGTCGGGACGCCAGTGGTGTCTCCGACAGCTGCTCCGAGAAGGCAACCTCCAAATTTGTGTTATAATTATAGTTTTTTTGGATTGACCGAGAAGAAATGATCGAACTTAACGCTACTGGGTCACCGAAGAATTTGAGTCTGGAGTTAATACAGAGTACTTCATTCAAATCTGCTTTTCGAACCATCAACAGGTACCGTAATGATTCGATATAGCGCCCTCCTTCCAATAAGCGCACCCTTTCGAATTTGTTTTCAGTGTTAATACGCGCCCCCGTTCTGATAAGCGCCATTCTTAAAATTTATTGGAACAAGTAGCATTTTGGCACGACATAAAAGTAGTGTGTTGCCTAACGCCCCACTATCTACACCATCAACGAATTGTAATGTAAGTGACAATGTCAATACTGTTACAGTTTCCGTTTTTATTCCTTGTTTAATAAATAACTCCCCAGGCTGGGTTATTTTTCATAGAAAAAAAGGAAACCTAAACTTTTCGGATTCAAAAATGTGATGGAAAGAGGAATCAGAAAATTATAACTTGCGTAATAAGTCATTGCGTCTAAAATTTTCGGGAAAATAATTAATACTGAAGCCCTTGTAATTTCGAAAAGACTCAAGTTTCCCTAGGATGACCCAACAGATACAAATTTTATTGGCAGAACCAAGTTTCATCAATTTTCTCCTTACAGTAGCCATAAAGCGAAAAATACGTAAATAGTACGGCTTCTGATAGAATTAGCTATCACACTGATAATCTTTAAAAAATAACAGTGACGTCATAATGACGGAATTGATGAAGGAATTGGAATCATCCACCATCTTGGATCTGCCATTTTGAATAAATTAACTACATTCCATTTTGCTTAAAACCGGTGTATAAATCGAGGTAATCGTGATATAAAATTTGATCTGTGTATAAAAGGATGCTTAAGAGGAAAAAATCTGCAAGCTATGAAATTCATAGAGAAATGAACACTGTTGAAAAGAGAACCAGCATCTGCCATTTGGTCCCTTCATATTTCATGTTTTGTAAAGCTTGAACGGTTTTGAAGTTATTTAATTTTAAAGTCACTAACCGAACAGTACAGTCAACTCTGATTTAAGGCTGTTGACACGCTCCGGTTACATTTTTAAATATGAATGCGCCTATTTTGTAGTAGTGGAAAAAGTTCTTGGAAAAACTGATTCTTTTCCTTTTTTACTTATATCTTTATTTCTTTCTCTTGTTTTGCCCGAAACTTCAAACTCACCTCACTGCGCGGCGAACTCAAAGAAAGCTTGGCGAGCGGAGACTAATCCCACCTATTTCGATACTGATCATGCATTAGCATTTGATTTCCCAGCCAGGCTAGAAAGGCTAGAAAGGCCCGCAAGGCGGCTTTTTCGCCGCAAGAGAATTTATTTTGACCCTTCTATTTTACAGTTGTGATCGCTCACTCATTTTCCCTGGAGCCAAACCCCAAAGTGTGACCGACCTCTCGCCAGCGAAAAATTAAACAGAATAAAAAAAAAATCAGCTTTCCTAGTCAAAGCAAAATAGCTGGGACTTGAACGGGTGACATTTCTACGATATGATCAGTTATAAATAAGTATTCACTAATCGTATTACAGTCATTTAATAAAAGTACATTTACCCCTTCACTCCTATACTTTTCAGTTAATTTAGTTTCGTACCTTAATCTTATAACAATATACATAACTGATTTTCAAGATAATATGTAACACTGAGTCCCTTCTGGGTCATCTTCTCAGAGAAAAATTTAGTTGCTTCTTCTAATTTAGAACGTTCATGGTGTATGAAATTAATTAACTGCCCAAACATTTCTCTAGTCTACAACCTTGCGTTCAAGCATTAGTTTTGGGTGTTACAATTTAATATTTGTCACGATAGTTTTTAAAACTTTCTTCTTCTTTCAGCCAACAAAATCAACAAAAACAATCACAAGAAATCACATAACTAAGCATTTGTTTTTTTTAGAAGAACCCTTGTGCTTTTTGGGCTTGTGGGCTTGACTGGATGACCGAGATAAGGAAGGTAAAACCGAACGATTGCTTGACCCGCCAGAGTTCGCGTATGAAGTAGAAGTTGAAGCCGTGGGAGGAGACTGATTTTGGATTGATGCGCTCACTCCTGGTATGGGTGAATGATAATCATTTGCAGACGCTGTATTGGATGTGGAAGTGTAACCGCCTGTACTAGATACACCTGAATAAGGTGCTTGAACACGCGAACGCACACTCGAGGTTGTGGTCGTCTGATAACTGGTGGATGGGCTGCTAACGTTGTAATGCACTTTAGTTGCCACTCCTTTTGCTGCTGGTGAGTGTCTAGGCGTTGGGGCTGGTGCTCTTGCCACAGGTCTCGCGGGTCCCGCAGGCTGCTGATGACCGCCTCGAGCTGTGGTGTACTCGATTATGTACTCCGGGTAGAACTGATCAGTATCAAAAACGACGAAAATGGTTGGAGATGACCTGTCATCAACACAGGAATCGTACAGATCACTTGCGGGATTCGAAGGCTCCTTTGACGGTGGCCTTCGATAACTGGACTTGCCTTTAGTATAAGACCCAACGAGGACCTTGGCCACAAACATGAACTTAGACCCTTTGGTATCTTCCTTGGCGTAACTATCGCTGTACGAGGAGTTTAATGCAAAATAGCTTCCTTCACCGTAAACAGTTGCGTTCTTCCCATGAAGACGCCAGTCAAAGTTCTGTTTACAGATAGCTTCTACGATTTCAGGGTTAGTTCCATGAAACAATTGCCTCTCGTTAACAAACCGTCCCTTGGTAGAGCCAATCCTCGATGCTGCCATGTTTTCCTTTTTCCTGAATAAAATACAGTAATGTTTCAGTTGAAAACAAAAACCGGAACTTTAAGATAGTAAGCGAAATTATAACTTTAAGATAGTAAGCGAAATTATAACTTTAAAATAGTAAGCGAAATTATAACTCAGTACTATTTTTTATTATTTCTTGAGTAAAAGAGGATTAACAACTGAAGGTCGCGCATGTATGTTTTTCAATCACGAAAATACGCGCACTGCATGATGTCATAAAATTCAACCTAATTTGTAAGCTATCGATCTCTTTCTCAGACAATTCCTCTGCCTCTGAAGTGTTCTTGAGAAGGGGAAGAGAGGGCTTGAAAGAAGCTTACTGTAAGAAACGAGTGGAAGTGAGAAAGACCCTCGCGCAACCCGCGTAAATAAGACTAAGATGGGTACAGTTACAGTATATGAGGGTAGAATAGAATAGAATAATTTATTTAATGTCGAAGACGTAAGAAGTTTTTGTATAATCTTCAGAGCCAGAGGCTCATGTTAAAAACGTTCGACAAACTAAAAATACAAAACGAGATGATAAAATGTGAATTATGCATATACAAATATAAAAAAAAACCTAACTATTAAGTACATCGTAATTTTGGGAAAATTTTTTTAAGCTGTTTAAAAAGAACCGAGGGTAATTAAATACCATTAATAATCTATTAAGCCCGCGCCTTTTAAATAAGCCCCCACTACCCCATCTCCCTTCAAATAAAGAAGTATTGATTGAAAAACACTATTTACCACTAAGAACTAGCCCATACTAGAAAAACGTGCCTCACGCACCCTCGCGAAATTCGGTGGGGCACTCAATTAAAGCCCTCGTGATCCTTATGTTTTGATATTGTCTTTCGCTGTGTTTTAGGGACAATTAGAGTTTCTTCACACCTCTAGGGTTGTAACAAGCGACGGAAACGTTTATTGGTGACGTAGCATTTAATGCCTTACGTTTAATGTATTTGTTCAGTAGTACCTTTGGTATTTTTCCCACATGAAAGGGTTTTGCACTCGTTCAATTCCAGCAATTACCACACTCTGTTTGATGGACTTTTTGAAGAGTTTCTCCACTTCTTTAAATTCTTCAGAAAGTCTTGATAACGACACACGTTGATATTGCCTCTTGGATTGCATGGAAGACCAATGATTTGGCGTATTAGTGACTCTTGTATTTCTCCTTTGCAGGACACTCACTGCGTTCTGAGACCTATGAAAAAGATGGTAATGCAGTGCGGTCAGTGTAAAACGCAGACTGCGGACTATTTTTTTCACCATGCTAATGTGAACAAGAGAACAATAGTCCCATTGTTTTCTAGCCCTAAGAACAATAGTCCGCAGTCAGTCCGCAGTCTGCACTTTTACACTGCTCCAATGCAGTGGCACATTGTTTTGCAGTTTATTCTCCTAAGAATGTTCCAACGCATAATTCAGTGAAAATATAGTAAGCAAATGAGCAACTGATTGTTCTCTGTGAAAGAATTATTACCCGATGTTTCACTTAAATGCTTACATATTAAGTTTTCCTCTGTAGATCCATCAGATTAGCCCACGGGGGCTGTCTGTGGGCTCCAAACAGGTATCCACCATTTACCTTAACAGTAAAAGCACTTTGAGGTAATTTTCACAGGAAACACGCTTCAGGTATCAATGACCAGCTTCCAACAGATTAGACATCACATCATGGCCCATCATGTGACATCTTTTTGTGACTGATCGTAATGCAAATGAACGACCACACTTGTGGTCAAATTATACATAAATCATTGTCTTGCTGGGTTATGAAAAAGATGGTAATGCAGTGCGGTCAGTGTAAAACGCAGACTGCGGACTATTTTTTTCACCATGCTAATGTGAACAAGAGAACAATAGTCCCATTGTTTTGTAGCCCTAAGAACAATAGTCCGCAGTCAGTCCGCAGTCTGCACTTTTACACTGCTCCAATGCATTGGCACATTGTTTTGCAGTTTATTCTCCTAAGAATGTTTCAACGCATAATTCAGTGAATTTATAGTAAGTAAATGAGCAACTGATTGTTCTCTGTGAAAGAATTATTACCCGATGTTTCACTTAAATGCTTACATCATAAGTTTTCCTCTGTAGATCCATCAGATTAGCCCACGGGGGCTGTCTGCGCGCTCCAAAGAGGTATCCACCATTTACCTTAACAGTAAAAGCACTTTGTGGTAATTTTCACAGGAAACACGCTTCAGGTATCAATGACCAGCTTCCAACAGATTAGACATCACATTATGGCCCATCATGTGACATCTTTTTGTGACTGATCGTAATGCAAATGAACGACCACACTTGTGGTCAAATTATACATAAATCATTGTCTTCCTGGGTCCCTAGTTTTTATCTTAAAAACAGAGCTTTATCAAAACATTTCTTTTGCATGGTCACCATAATTTCACAGTGAAAACATGATGTAAGATTTTATGCTAATTATTTTGAAATAAAGAAACTTGCCCATCATATCGGCGGAAAGGGATAAAGTTCTTGTCATTAATTCATTCTACAACACAAATACCTTTTAAGCTGAGAAATGTCATCCTTAGACACAAATTTTCCAGGCCTTCTTCTCACTTTTTTCGTCGTGCCGTACTTGACGTTTGTCTGGCTCATGTCACTTGATGGGTTAAAATTTAAAATGTAATCCTGGTCTGCAATCCGAAACTTAAAATCGTTTTTCTTGTTCAAGTAGGCTCTCTCTAGGGATTCTTGAAGATCGTTTCCCTATGAACAAAAAGGTTACTTGTCGAGACAAGATACCATATACTACTCTATATAGAATTTTACTGATGCACCAAATTAAAAAGCGCGCTCCATATATTACTTGGAATGTTTGTTGTGTTGGCCTAATATACCAGTCACATATCCAGCAAGTCCAACTCTTAATCGGGGGTTCTGCCCGATTACTCTGAGACTTCAGCCATATACAATGTTAAAGTAAAGATTTCACCCCCATGGAGGACTGTGACAATATGCTTTTTATCCTGTCGGGAATGTGACCTGATATAAATGAAACCTGTCACAAGTGTTTCCATTCACTTTTCAATAATTTTCAGACTAAGTCAATCATATTTATATAATTTAAGATTTCAATTTGACTGAAAGAGTTAACAAGCTTACCTCGGGCTTTTCACGATAAAACTCTTTGAAATCTCTTACTGGTTTGGAGACTCATTTGAATCTCAGAACAATCAGTACGCAACGACTTAATTCGTAGACGTACAAAAGGTTTTTCCCTTTTTTGTCTACCGTTGGAGAAGTGATTTCCTTTCTTCATTCTCCCAAACGAACTGAATGACATTACAGATCCCCTAGAGCAGCTTCCATATCCCACAATGGTTAAATCACCTTCGGGAGCTCACCACAAGCCGTCCGTTAAATCTTCAACCGAAAGTGGGCCCTAGCCGACCCTCACCCATCTTACCGCTTTCCTTGAAGGACTGTAAGGCTACTTACAACTGAGGTATCATGATTTCCCCCACTATTTACTCACAGTGTGGTCTTGGTCATACATCCTCCAGAATCCATTTTCGTCTTGCCAGTACCATATCCACTCCGTAGCTAGAGGGTTGCTTGAGTTGACGTCAGATTCCGTAGATAGGCGTCGCAGTTGCATGAGCCTTTCAACATATTCCTGTGTAATCAGCAGCTTATTATCGAGGAATATATCGACTTCACACATCTCGTCCAAGAATAAAAATTCATAGCTTAAATATGAATATTAAAATGATAATAATGTCAACCTGTAATTCATGTTTAAAAAAATGCATTATACCATAAAATGTTAATGTTCTGGTTCATTTGTCTTTAGCCCTTGCATTTTGCCATACTCCTTTATCTTTTCTCATACATTAGACTTGGGCTGAAGTATGTCTACCGAACTTTGCACACTTATTATAACTGTAAATGAGTGAAAATCCATGAATTTGACAAGACTCTCAGTGTATAATTACTGTAACATACCTTTCAAATGATATTTGCATGCCTGTAGCAGAACATTCCTCAAGTGTCACGTCGCAATACAGTGTTTCTAGCTTCTCGTTGTCTTTCTCATTAAAACTCTTCCATTCACCTGCATTGCTATATTGCCAATGGTAAGGCAAAAAGCAGTGATGGCCTGTACACTTAGAACCATTCTGACATTTGCTAAGAATAAACTCTGCGCAAATGGGTGCACCTGGCTTGTTTACGAGAATATGTCCTGTCAGAATGCCTTGAGTCAAAAAGACAAAAATGATTGCTCGTTCAGAAATGATTAAAATTTGTTCCACTGACTATTGAGGCATTATCATGCAGTATTAATTTTATATATATGATAAGAACTTTTTATTTATATTTATATTCATTCATTTTTATTTTGTTATCTTTGGTCAGACTGGTTTTCCGTCTTAACGGTCACGGAAAATCCACTTTTTCTAAAGTTTTTAACACCCGCCTTAGCTCTCCGTCTTTCATTGGCAGCTTCCCTCCTTTAAAACACTTTCATTGTGTTATATCTAAAGCTAACCTTTCCCTTCCCGCTAAAATCATGATTTTCAAGCTTATCGTTTGACAAAGTAATAAGTAAGTAAGGCTTCTTGTACCTCGGGTTTCGAAAACCGCAGCATTAAACTACCTAACTGCGGACCCTGTAGACTACGTTTTTAGCATTATACGTTGGAACCACAGAAAATGTTTGTTTAAACGAAAACTAGAGATGTCGCAGGGCTGACAGAATTTTAAATTACTTACCTGTAGTTTTTTCTTTGGAACATGCGGACTTCTTGCGCTGCTCACAAACAAGAATAATTTTCTTTACCAGGTCTGATTTATGGTGTCCAAGCTGAAAACGTTCAAGAATTGCTTTGGTGTGTTCAATGTTCATGGCTTCTTCATGAAGTAAGTCACAGCCATATCCCCTTCTAAAACACTTTTTCAAATGTTCTCTACACATGTGTATTTTAGAACAAGACTCACCAAGATCACACGAACCGTTGTTGTACTCTACACAGATTTGGGGAGTAGATGAAAGCACTAGCTTCCTGAGTTGCTCATCAGTCAACTTATCAAGCTTAATCGTCAACAACAGAGCTCTTTCTCTTTCATCGTGGAAGTGATGATTCCGCGGGCACGTCGCTCCGTTGTTACAGGAATCGGTTATGTACTCTCTACAGACGTGCAAGTACGAACAGTTCTCTCTATTGCACTCCCCATAATAAGAGTTATTGTAACTGAGACATAAACGTGCTTTTGTAGAGAAAGCGTCCACTTGGGTTATCTTTCCGTGATCATCTTCTGTAATGAGAAAACTCCCTTTCTTGCTTCGAAACCAAGCTTCTACATCCTTAAATTCAGACGGGAACAAATCTCTTCGTTTGGAAATCACCGAAAAAGCAGCTGAGCAATCATACTCGCTGCAAAGGCATTCGAAGACTTTAACCTCAGCCGGCTGAGCAGGGGCACTTGCAGCCACGCCCACTTTCGAAGACATGTGCTGATCTTCCTTGCTCACTTTAGTGGCCACGCCCTTTGCAGTAATATTGCCCTTGGGGTCTTTCAAACCACTGTAAATGTTCTCCTGGCATACCAAAAGCGTGCGAAGCACTGAACTGAAGTTGCCTCCAATGACTCTCATGCCATAGTTTTGAAGTACTGCAGTGGTGTGAGCTTCGGCAAACACGCTTTCGTGTCGAAGAATACAGTCTTCCTCATCGAAGCATCTCTTCTTGATAAAATCCTTGCAAATGTGTACTTGGTTGCAAGACAAACCGTTGGTGCAAAGTCCAAAATTGTTATAATCCAGACATACTTGAGGCGTTGAAAGCTGAAACACATTTCGGAGTTGTTCTTCTGTCAAGCCATCCAACTTGAGTTTTGAAATTAACTTTCTATCTTGATCGTACTGAAAACAGTGATTTCTTTGGCATTCAATACCACGCCTGCAGAAACCAGCGATGTACTCCCTGCACACGTGGAAGTACTGACAATCTTTCTGAGAACACTTTTCCTTGAAACAAAACCTTGCCTTTCGACAGAAGGCACTAACCTCGTAAATGATTCCTTCCTTTTCTCTGATTAAAAAGCTTTCTTTTGATCTTGCTCTAAACCACTTGGCAATGTCCCCATAACTGTTGGGAAACAAATCTTGTCGTTTTGAAATGACATCAAAGGACACCGTGCCATTGTATTCTTTCACAATGCAATCGAAAACAGCCTTTTTGGAGGGTGAAAATTTACGCGAGTCTTGAACAGAGCTGCAAGAACTGGAAACAGACAGCTTTCGTTGACGCCCAGATTCCACCTCTTGTGAGGTTGGTAGCCTGTGCGAATCAGTGCAACTGAAAGTAGACTCAACAACGAAATCGCGGCTTGTCAACCAGGCCTCCATAAACCGCTCTTTATTGGCACTTTCCGAGGCTCTGTTGGATTCATGTTGGCGTTGACTGTCTTTTGTGTCACGTGACACATTCAAACTTTTCGGTTGTTGTGTACTCAATACCTTCATACAGGCTGCATTTTTTCCCACCTCTTGAGTCTTTGCCTTGGTTTGTTGCTCTTTAGTCACAGAATTTCTGCTTTTCTTCTTTTGCGATTGGTCAATATTTGTATCCTTTCTTGAACTGTCAATCAAAGATCCTTGCTCCCATTTCATCGAATCATTTCCATCCAATTCGTTTTTCATCATGTTTATAGGATTCTGTTTTAAACCAACAACTTTCATGGCATCAACCGAATTTTTGTTATCATATTTACATCCAACTGCTTTGGTGTTTTTATTTGCAGGCTTGTTTTCATCAAAGGACGAATCAGAATCGTCTCCAGTTTGAATATTTAAAAACTCAAGCCTACTCTCAGAAGAAGGTGATACTGCATTACTCGTTAAATTGTTAATACGATCAGTTTGCTTACAGATTGGTGCTCCCGACTTGGTTGTCTTCTCTTGCAAAAGATTTGACGGGCAATTCTTCTTCTCAAATTCAGTTCGGTCTTGAAAACTGCATGCAGCATCGAATTCTTTAGAATTATTGTACGAGCTTTGTTTCGTATTAAACGGAGATTTTGTAGTTTCGTGTCTAGATGGTGAAGACACTTCCGGCGATTGTTTTTTTGTACCTTGTATGACTCCCATCGCTTTCTTAGAGGAATTTTCACCGGCGTTGCAAACACTTGGTAAAAAATCATGAGCTTTGTGAGGAATACGCTGTTTCTTCGGAACTAAAATATTGCACCGAACAAAATCTGTTGACATTGACTGATGAGGCACCAGATCATACTGTTTGAGAATCTTCATGTTGTGAGAATCCGTGAGGTTGTGTGACAAAGAACAAGAACACGCTGAACTTCGGACAGCTTGAGAACAAAGATGAAGGTATAAGCATGAATCCGACGTCCATTTGCCTCTTGTATACAGCTCACAAACCTGTGGCAGGCTCCACGCAACAATATGTTTTAAAGTCCCGTTCGGATATTTAGCCAGCCCCAATTCTTTTGTTTTCTCTTTGTTTTCTGGGTCAAAAAAGTTGTGCGAGCGGTTGCATTTGCCATGGCAATTTTCTTCGATGAATCCTTTACAAATATGCCAGAAGTTACACTTCCCCTGAGCACTTCCACAAGAACCTTGGTCGTGATATTGCCGACATATTTTTCTTCTTAAATCAATTCGCACACCTGCTATCTCGCCATTAAAATCTTTCACGACGACTAAACGCCTATCAGGTTGATTCATTAGCCAGTTTTTCGCTTTTCCCTTTGATTTCCTACTTCCCAAAGGCGAGGAATGTTTTAAAAGAACATGTAATTCAACAAAACCGCCACTACCGCAGATATAATTGAACACTTTCTCTGCCAAAACATCATCCGCCATCTTGTTTACAACGAAAATTTTGAAGAAAGTGGAAATGTTTGAATATTTTTCCGAGAAAAAATAGCGGCAATCTGTCCCGAGGGGATTTTGTTGAAAGAAACTTGTAGGAGACTGTTATGAACAACGAAAAATTGAGCCTGTACCGTCAAGAGGGTATTACGCGCTCTCTTTGCCTCCTTTCCTTACATTCGTATTCGTAGATTTGTTTTGTCTACACTCATCATCCACGTGGCTGCTCATGTCAACATCAGCTGATCGTGACAACCGTTCTTTTATTCGTGTTTTTTTTTTTTTTTTTTTTTGAATAATGGTACTTAAAACAATGACCAAGAATATCAGACCGGACTAAACTTTGGTAAGTGGGATTTTGTGAATTTTTAGGAGAGAAAAAACTAAATAACTACACTAGCGCGTGGCTTTTAACATAAAACTCAATGCAATGAAAATAAAAAAATTCGGAGCAAAAAATACCTACATGATATTTGTATTTGCATTGAATTTCTCCTTTTGTTTAAATTTAATAAGGGCGCAAAATTCCATTTCATATAAAAAAGATCATGATGTTGTTTCTTATTTTCTGCTTGGCTTACATTGGCTAAATACCGTAGAAGCCGCGTGTAAGAACCTTCATTTTTTGAACTCTGGCAAAAATGGTTCTTGTGTTTTGGGGTAGTCATTGGCAACTTTAATAGGCTCAGTAGGTTCTTAACTAGGTTCTTAATTCAGTGTAGGAGATATTATATTAATAGTTGTTGACTACTAGAAAAATAAATATTAAAGCTGGTTTTGGTCCTTAGATATATAGTAGTGATTTATTCACAGCTGCGTTCTAACAAAACTGATCACAGAATGCATTAGTGTTGTTTCCATAACGAGTGTATATAAAAAAAAATACTACAAAATAACTAAATAAATAGTTGATAACTAAAGTATTTTCTTGTAATATAAATTTTAATCTCAAAGTCTGAAAAACCAGATGGGGGGCACTAAGTAAAAATAATGCCGAGATAGGGGGGCTCAAATTAAAATTATTCTTATTACAGGGGGGCCCAAACTTTCATTTTATGCCATGCACCTTTGTATTAAATTGTAAGAACAATTCTACATGCATTGTAAAACAGGAAAATGTTCTTAGAAGATGTGAAGTTTATGTAAAAAAATGTCATCACATTTTAGACATGTTACCAGAGTTTCCTTTCAAAAGAATTAGCTAAAATATAATATATAATCCTAGTATCTATTACAAGGCCAAATTCAAGTAAAAACATAACTGGTCCCAAACAAACCATTTGTACTTAGATGCCCTATAAGACAGTTGTAAGTTCACCCTCAGAAGTTCCAGACAATCTCCTAGCCTTCCTGGGCGAAGCCGTTTGCCCTGCAAAGGTCGCGCGCCAGCATGCTTTGTGTGTCTTTGAGGTAAACAAATGTAGGGTTTCACAATCAACTCCAGTCGGAGAATACCAAATATGTCCGGCTCAAAGTCCTCTGCAAGGGGAGACTCCTCCCAGAGAACGCAAAATAAGGCATGCTCTTTTTCTTCTGTTTTCACAAGCTGTGAGCTTCCTCTTTTCCTCTTTTCACCTTCTCTGCTCTTTCCTTTTTCTTGCTTCAGATGTTGTGGACTTGGTGCCAATTTGATATGACGCCTTATATTTAGCCATCACTCTGTCCAAGTCCTAGAACAAGATGTAACACATCCTATTCATCGCCAGACTTGATATAATGTCGTTTCTCATAGTTGAAATTGTGAAGGCAATTTAGGCCAGTCTTAACCCTAACCAAATCCAACACTGTTTTGAATGTATTTTTAAGCTATTTTTGACAACTGTTTTTAACCTGTTTTGTGAAATAGGTTTTAAATAGATTGAAAAATGTATTTTTCGACTGCTTTTAAAGGTGTTTTAACCTGTTTAAAACGCTATTAAAAGAGAATTTTTAAAGTATTTTAAAATTCGTTTAAAATATATAAAAAATTCAAGGGCAAGGCTCAAAACAGGTCTAAAATAGTTTTATGTCTCCTCCCCGGTTTACTGAAACACTAACAATAAACCCCCCTTTATTGCCAACAGCCGAGCTTTGTTTGCTAGACGCCTAACTTAGAAACAAAGAAAACCGAGACTGTGGTCTGGGATTAAAAAACATGGCCAAGTTAATGGCCGGTTTTATTGAAATCTGTAAAATCATCTTATCAATGTTAAAATATGAAATAATGTTTACGAATTTATAGGTCTAGCAAAGGTGAGGGCCAGAAGAAAAAGGCAACTAAACTACAAGAAATACCTAAAGCAAGTTAAAAAGGTGGAAGATTGGGGAGGAGGCGGGTCGATTGCTTGTTCAAAGAATAAGCGGGTCAGCTATCGAAGATTCGGCTTGATGTCAGCTTTCAGACCGAGAGGATTAACAAAAGGTTACACCCTCTTATAAAGGGTCTCCGCGAGATAATGGGATCGAGGCTAAGTAGATTTACTTTGAGTGGCCTTACGATAGGAGCTCGTGATTATTACCCAAAAGTAATTTTACTTTTCGTCTTGTGATTCTCATGCGATCGTAAACCATTGTAAGATAATTCAAGTTCACATTCGAGAGCCTCTAAGCCTTTGAAGCCGCAATCGACCCCACCCACCCAAAATCCATGCACTGAAGAAATTGGAAGGGGAGACATAAAAATTTTTATTTGGTTCCAAATAAACTCATTTAAAATACCTCATAAATCGGAATAAAAACAGGATAAAGACAGTTTCAAAAACATATTTTTATTTGCTATACTATTTTAAAACTATTTTTTGACGTTTTGTGATTCTGTTCCGTTTTTTGTGTCTTGTTTTGTCCATATCAGCCACCGTATCCGAGGCATTTACTATCAGTTACATTATAATGGCCTAAACATTTTACTGGTGCCTTTTTCAATCTCGGGCAGTCACATATAGTATGAAGTGGTGGTTAACTCAAGATTACACTTTTGTGACTGATAATATAATAATATTGCAATAAACTTACCACGTCGCTTCCTGAAAGACCGGGTCTTCAGATTTTTAGGCGTTAAATTCGTTAAAGCAGCTCCTTAAATTATCGTTAGTACTTATCACCAAATTCGACATTTTAAACGTGTTAACTCGGCTATATAAGTCATATAAATGCATTAGATCATTAGATCATTATACACTCCGTAACACGAAGAAACAGAAACAGATGAGAGCCAAATGATATGATTTGAGATTTTTCTGTAATTATTTAATATCAAGTACGGCCTAAACATTTTACTGGTGCCTTTTTCAATCTCGGGCAGTCAGATATAGTATGAAGTGGTGGTTAACTCAAGATTGTAGTTTAAGAATTTTGTTTTAAATAGGTAATTTTTTTTCTTCCTCTGATTGCCTGCTTAATTGTAATTCCTATTTGTCATAACTGCTTAGTTTAGGTGTGACTAGTGCTCATATGTGATAAAGTGTCGTTGTTATCTTAGTGATTAGTAGGAATTGTTGTAATGAACAATATTTATCAATTTGTTTATTCATTTACTAAACTTTTGTATTGTCAGTGTTTTTGTTAGCTATTTTATTTTATTATCTAAGTCTATTTTGTGTGGTTAATAAATTCTATTCTAAAAAAAATATCATTTCATTTTCAAAAAGTCACTTTGTTTCTTTTCTTCTGTCTGGCTAGACTACGAGCAGTCTCTCTTTTTTCTTGGTCCGTCCAGCAAAACGCAAGATATACGCAAATGACCACGCGCGTAACTGTATGTGAAGAAAAAGAGAGACTGCTCGCAGTCTACTATCTGGTTTACCTCGGCTTAATATAGTAAAAAACCCGCGTGTAAGAACTTACAATTTTTTTTAACTCTGGCCGAAGGAAAAAAAGGTTCTTGTATTTTGGAGTAGTTATTAGCAACTCAGGCTCAGTAGGTTTTTAGTTTCAATGAAGGAGATGAGTCGTAGCCCACCGAATAAATAAATCTGGTTTTGGTCCTTAAATATGCAGTGTTTATTGACAGCTGTATTCTAACGAAACTGATTACCGAATGTATATTTGTACTGAGTGTTGTTTCCATAAAAAGATTAGTATAGGAAAAAATTACTGTAAAATAAATAAATAATTAGTTGATAAAAAAAGTACTTTCTTTGCAATATAAATTTGCAATCTCAAGGTCAAAATAAACTCCTTGGTTGAAATACCTATCATAATATTTTAATACTGGAACCCACATATAAGAACTTGTTTGATCTTACTTGGCTAAACAGGCTCTTATATTTTTGGGTATACCCAAAATGGCAAATTTCTGCAAGCAGTTTCTTACACCAAAAGGTTCCTACAGCACGGGTTTTTGCTTTAATACAATGGCACCTCCCCAATACAGACAGCAATGGGATAGACACGGTCTAGTCCCTGAGCGTTCCCTTGGTGCCCGCCCTTTCCGGGACTTCGATGGGATAACGGAACAAGAGAGAAGGCTTAGGGACCAGGCTGCGACAGCAATTCAGAGCTGGCAGAATTAAGACCAAATGGTGTCACGGGAGATCGTCTATTGAATATGAAGGTGCAAGAACTTTTCTCGAAGGTCACTGGTACACGGAGAAGAAACGAAGGGTGCGTCCACAGTCCCCAAGCTCAAGGAAGTAACAATAGGCGATTTTATTATATGGCTGAATCCGCGAGTCGGCAAGATGAAACGATTCCTGTGTTCTGATTGGCTACCCCTGCGGGCAAGATGGGCCAATCGCACCCGCTCGGAATTTCCCGCGGATAAAGAAAGTGCCTCAAGAAAAAGTTCTCTTTTTGGCCATTTTTTTTATAAATTCCTTTATAGATCAACTTGTTCGGTCACGGTTCTGGACATTGGCATCATGTGTCCATAAAAATGCGAAAAAAAGAACTTGGCCAATATCCAGCATCTTGACTCACGCTTATTGGTCAATAGTGCATAAAGTAAAGCGATCGATGGATGGGAACGTTAAATCGCTCGATCTCTCCGAAATTGGATAGATAACGAAATAGAG